AAGATGTTGTTTATGGCAACAGTATTGATGTTATTGCTTTGACGGAGACTTGGCTGCCCAATCATGTACGAAATGATGAAATTTTACCGGTTGGATACAAGTTATTTAGGCGTGATCGACAAACTGGCAAACGGGAGGTGGTATATTGTTAGCTGTAAAAGATTATTATTATTTTTAGAATTAACCAACAATACAATGATGCCTCCACTAAATTATACAATGCATAACACCGTAATAAAATTCTAAAAGCATATTGTAACATTGGCCAATGCTCTTCTTACTTTAAGGCGAATTATATAGCTATGTTGATATTGTCCGAAGACACCTAATGTCAACAGCTATTGTCCGAAGACACCTCATGTCAACAGTCCAGATAATATATTTCTCATAATTGTCTCGCTTTCCCATAATATAGTCTTTCTTTTGCATTTCTCTACTTATCCAGTGTAAATCTTTCTCGTTGTTAAACAACTCTCTTATATCATCTTTCAGTCTTTTCATCCCTCCTCCTAAACAGCCGATCACCGCTGGTATAACTTTCACTTTATATCTGTCCCGTCTTTCCCGTAAAGTGAGCTAATTGTAACGTACATAAATTGGAAATAGAGAATGTGTTATAATGTCCTGCATGGTGGAATAATAATCCTCTATAATCCTCTCGATATATTGATATGTTCAACATAACTTAGGGTCGGAGCCAACATAACTTAGGGTCTTTATTATTATTATTATTATTATTATTATTATTATTATTATTATTATTATTATTATTATTATTATTATTATTATTATTATTATTATTATTATTATTATTATTATTATTATTATCAGCACATTATTATCAGCATTGAGCAGAGCAGCATTGTTTATACGCGCTCTGTACATGTTGTTCGTTTTATCGCTATTTTCTTACTTGAACCACAGTTTATTAATAAAAATATTATAACTATTGGATTTACTCGGATATAAATCATGATTCGTTCAAGCCTTGTTGCTATGTTGGCAATTTGCGCAGATTGCTCGTTCTGTGGCAAAGACTTCGTTACGCTGGGCCGTCATTCATGGCGTTGTAAAGAAAAAATAAATCAAGATCGTCCTGCTAACACAGTCAATCAAAATATGCCGGTTATGCATTCTCCTGTCAGAATCTCAAACACCAACGACGTTAAGTGTTATTGTGGTAAATCATGTAAAGGTACGCGGGGGCTTAAAATGCACCAACGTAGTTGTCGTGTAATACATGGTTTAAATGATGAATTTCTTACAGACCTTGAACAGCAATCTACTGAGAACTCGACTACGAATACTTCTACTCATTCTACATTTGAAGAAAATGATGTAATGGAAAATATTGCGAGCGATCAGAATTTTCCAGTGTTGAAGAAAGGGGTAAAGCTTCCCAAAAGCGACGCAGAATGGTCAACGGCTGACAGCTATTTCAAATTTGAATTGCGACTAAATGCGCCAATCAGAATTGAAGATCTAAGCTCAAGCATTACGCTAATGAATGATATTGTTTACAACTATTTCGCTGATAACTTCGGTTATGTTGAGAAGATGCCGGATAAAGAGCTAGTGAATAAGTATAAAGATCAAACAGTAAAAGCCTTAAAGAAATGTCTAAAACAACTAAAGCTATCAAACGCTGATCCTCACGAAATCAAATATGTAGCTCGCACATTGCGTGATAAGTTGCGTAATGCTTGTCAAATCAATACAACTCAAAACCAAAACAAAACGTTCAATCACGACAATTACATTAGTAGAAATTTCTGGGGTTACGTTAAGAACCTCCTGAATAAGAACACTTGCCTACTTGCATGCTTTCCGATGTCAGAATGCGTAAACTATTTCAAGAAAACTCTATGTTCAATTAACCCAAACAAACTGTTTTGTATTCCAAGCTGGATTCCGAAGTTATCCGATCCTATCGTAAACTTTGACCTTCAACCCCCAACATATCGCCAAGTTACAAACATTATTCGCAGAATGAAAGCTTCTGGATCGCCTTGTCCTCTAGATCAACTTTCAATCATTTGCTTCAAACGTTGTCCATTCTTGCGCACTTATCTAACCGAAGTGATTCGTAGCGTCTGGTCTTCGAAATCTGTACCAGCTGAATGGAAAAAAGCGTGTTCTATTCTTATCCACAAAAAAGGCAATACAAGTAACCCCTCCAATTTCCGCCCAATTACTCTAGAAACTATACCACTAAAAGTGTTTACCTCTTGTCTCCGCAATGCTATGTTCTCGTTCCTAACTGCTAATAACTTTATTGAACATCAGATTCAAAAAGGTTTCACTCCCAATCTGTCTGGCACTCTGGAACACACTGCTCAAATGACAAATATTATCAACCAAGCGAGAATAAAGCAGCGCTCTGTTGTCATCACCCTTCTCGATCTCAAGAATGCTTTTGGTGAAGTGCATCATAATCTAATTCAATCTGTCCTCGACTATCATCACATTCCCAAAGACGTTAGTGAAATAATAAAGAGCTTGTATACGGACTTCAATACTGCATTTATAACATCAGAATTCTCTACCCCATTTATAACTGTCGGTCGTGCAGTTCTTCAAGGAGACTGTCTTAGTCTTCTAATTTTTAATATGTGCATCAATACGTTTATTCAACATATAAAAACTGACAAATACCGGCAATTTGGTTTCATTACAAATCTTTTAAACCCAGTCCATTGGTTCCAGTTCGCTGATGATGCTGCGGTAATAAGCGGTCAAGATTCAGAAAATCAACATCTTTTAAATCGATTCTCGATCTGGTGCCAGTGGTCTAACATGATTGTCAGGGTTGATAAGTGTTCAACATTTGGGATTAGGAAAAGTCTGACAAAATCTATCCAATATTTACCTAAACTTCTGATTAACAATGAATTGATACCTGCCACTAAAACCGGAGAGTCGTTTCGATACTTGGGGAAATATTTTGACTTCAGTATGTCCGAAAAAGAACACAAACAAGAGCTAATCACTCTCATGGACGACATTATGTCTGAAATTGATCTCAAACCCTTGCACCCGAAGAATAAACTTTTGCTTTATAGTCGTTACCTCCTATCCAAACTTTCCTGGCATTTCACTGTAACCACCTTATCAAGAACCTGGGGCACTGAAAATATGGATTCTGTGGTAAACAAGTACGTACGTAAATGGCTTGAAATACCTATATCAGGAACTCTATCTAACGTCTACCTTACCAGTAACAAGTTTGGTCTAAATATCTACCCGCCGTCAATTAAGTTTGCTCAGTGCCAAACAGTTGCTCGTAACGCCTTAAAGACCTCTCCAAATCATTCCATAAAAGACCTCTGGAAAACAACATCTGAAAGCAAAAACATTCAGTACGACGTTTACACCTCGACAAAGGAAGTCCTTAAAACTTTTACCTCCGGACAAGAAGACAAACTGCAGAATCATCTGATTTTACAAGGCTCCTTCTTCTCAAATGTCATTAAGTTTTCACTGTCGAAATTAAACGGCATATGGTCTAAATCACAATCAAACCTCCCAAAGAACATCTATAACTTCACCATTCGTTACATCAATAACTCACTTCCAACTCGTAAAAACCTTACTAAATGGGGAATATTGTCCAACTCTGATTGCTCCTTCTGCTTAAACCCTGAAACCCTTTTACACGTAGTTGCTGGATGTCAAACGTACCTCCCACGATTTACATGGAGACATGATTCTGTTCTGAACTTCATAGCACAAACGCTACAACCTGTAAACAACTCCAATCTTTTCGTCGATCTTCCTGGTTATAAAAGCCCATCAATTGTAACTGGTGACACATTCCGCCCAGACCTACTTCTATCTATCAACTCGGATTGTCTCTATATCCTTGAACTTTCTGTTGGCTATGAGTCTAATCTACAAACAAATGTTGATCGGAAAAGAAGAAGATACGAAGATCTCATTACACAGCAAAAGAAACCATTTAAGTCCGTAAAATTTGTAAATTTGTCAATTAGTTCTTTAGGCGTTTTCTCAAAAGAATGTCATTCCTTTTTAGATATGTTAAATGATCTAGGTCTTGATAAAAGACACCAATATTTCACTATCAGGAAAATTATGTCTATCGCGATTAGGACAACATATTATATATTTTGTTGCAGAGATAAGGACTGGTTAAATCCGGAATTACTGAACATTTAAGGATACTCATTATTAATATATAAATATTAAGTAGGTTCAAGTAGTCAATTATAAATTACCTAAATTAGTGAGATTTATAATTGTATATATACGTATATAATTTCAATAAAGTTTCCATTATTATTATTATTATTATTATTAAAAACTCTGTATGTTTTCCAAAGGGCTTTTCAGCATACAATTACAATATGCAATTTAAAATAAAGCTATACTATACTATTCAAAATCTAAGTTACGATTGTCTATTAAAACCTTCATATATATGATACTAAGAATTTAAAGGGTGTTCTTTTAGTTTTTTCTTAAAAACCTTGGGTTCTGGAATCTTTTTCAGTTCATCTATATCAGTCCATATCTTAACTGCGCGATAATGAAATGTTCTTTGCCCTGCAGTAGTTTTATAGCTATGCATTTATAAGCCATTATTGTGTCTTGTCTTTGTAAATAAGTAAGTTTTCAATAGATAGCCAGTTAGGTTGTTGAAGACCTGGTGTTACATGGTCAAACTTTTTAATACTCGTGATGATTCGGCATGCGAAGTTCTGGACTGTTTGCAATTTCTTTAGATTTTTCGATGAGGTATTAGCCCACACCGAAGAACTATATAACAGCTTGTTAATCACCAAAGCTTCAATAAGTAATATTAAAGTTTTTTTATCAAACTCGACTAATTTCACATAATTTGTTTATGCACATTGACGACAGTTTAGAAATACGGTCATTATAGGGGAGATGTAAATCAAGGTGCATCCCCAAGTCTTTGGCAACTGAAACTGGTTTAAGAGTTTTCCGAGAAAGTTCAGATTGATTCGTGTTGGTAAATTCTATAGCGTTGATCTTGTGCCTACTAAGAGGAATTTGGTGTTGTCAGGATTGATTAATAATTGATGTTCCAAGCACCATTTAGCGGTTTTATACAGATCGTTTTCTAGTTTAGCTATTGCCTGTTGTACGTCTTCGACAAGAAATGCAAGATGGAGTTTTGAATCGTCAACGTAGGAGTCGAGATTGCTTGAAATCGTTACAGCTGGTAGATCATTAACGTAAATTCCAAACAAAAATGGTGAAAGAATAGAGCCCTGGGGCACTCCATAGGTTAGTGCGCTAGTTGAGGAAACAGTTGATTCTATTCGTACGTATTGTGATCTGCCCGACAGATAGCTTTCGAACCATTGAATGGCTAGCGGAGACGCTCCTACACATTTCATATGATTGATGCTGTCAAAGGCCTTAGACAGGTCCAATAAAATGAGGGCTGTTACATGTTTTTTGTCCATGGCTTCCAGCATCTTGTCCGTAATGAAGATGTTTAAAGTTTCTGTAGAATGGTGTTTCCTATTTCCATTTTGATGTGGTGATAAACGTTGATTTTCTTTCACAGACCTTTGATAAAAACTTCTAAAAGTGAAAGGGGTCGATTATTAGACGGTATCTCGTGATCGCCATCTTTATGCAATGGTATTACTTCAGATAATTTCCACTTATCGGGAAACTTGCCTAACGTTAAGGAATTGTTAATTAGGTTCGTTAGGGGCCCAGAATGACTGGTACACAATCTTTGATAACACCCATGCTGATATGGCAGAACTGAACCAACTGACTTTGTTTCAGATTCATTGAAACTTGTTTCTGTTGTGATTAATTCGTCATCCAAAAAAGTTCTTGTCGCTGTGTGTTATCGCCCTCCTGATTCCTCAATTGATTTCCTGCACGAACTGAACCGTTTCTTGAAATTTGTTGCTGATTCTCAATTTAAAGATGTTGTTTTAATGGACGACTTTAATTATCCCAATATTCAATGGTCTGACGGATCAGATATTTCTACCATAGGATCAGAAATTGGTTTTATTGACCTTATCACTGACTTTATTTACTTGCAATTAATCAACTCATCTAGATACTCGTGGCCATAATCTCATTGACCTGGTTCTCACTACGAATGAACATTTAACTGACAATTTTGAAATTACTGATGACTATTCCACTCGGACCATAAAGCTATATCTATATCTTACATTCGGACCATAAAGCTATATCTCTTGGCTTAAAATTGCATCGACGACCAAAACAATCCACCGAGCGAATAGTTTATATTATTCAAAGGGAGATTTTGTTGGCCTCCTAAACTGTCTTCAGAACGCTTCTTTAGTGGATTTAGTTCGCAATAACTGTGACGACATTAATGTTGCTTGGTCCAAGTGGAAAGCTGCTTTCCTTACTGCTGCCAATAGTTTTATTCCGAAAACATCGCTCAAGCGTTCCTTCACGCCTCCTTATATCACCAAGGATCTACTTCACGCCATCAACATGAAGGAGACCCTAAGGAGAAAAGCAAAGGCTAAGAATTCGCCTCAATTGTGGGAGAAATTTCGCAAGACTCGGCAACACGTCAAATGTTGGATTAATGCCAAGAAGAGAGAATACTTATCTGGGATAGGTAATAGGACCTCTACATGCGTCTTGGACCTGTGGTTTACTTATATTTTATAATCATTATCCATCCAATGGATTTCTTATATTGAAATCCGTGAAATATTGTGTAAAAGGTGCACGCGTCTAAGGCGTGCGCTGTTTTGTGTATTTTTATGTAAATCCATTGTAGAATTATCGTAATTGTAGTTAGCATGTATTGTATGTAAAGTTATTACTTGGTAATTGATAGGTGTGATTTGATGACGCACATGAATTTATCACAGGGTCGGATTGACCATACTGCGATATTGCAAATTAGGACAGTGTGATTTTGTGTGTGGTGTAATTTTCCTGTATCTCATTTGAGTAAATGGTTTTCTTAAATATATCTTCACAGGGTCTGGAAATTGGACCACACAGTGAGATATTCATAGAGAGTGTTCAGAGATGAGCTACTAAATTTATACTTCAAAATTATGAGTTGTCTTATCTTGAGCGTCTTAGAAAACTTAATTTATTGCCTATATCTTACTGGCTCGAAATACAGGATCTCATATTTTTTATCAAATGCAAACAAGGCCTCTACGACCTAGATATCTCCTCTTTTGTCACCTTTTCTTCTAATCGCTCATCTCGCACCCGTTCAAGCAAGGACAACTTGCTTCAAGTCAATCCGTGCAAAACCTCTATTTTTAGAAACTCCTTTTTAACCGAATTGTCTTTCTATGGAACACTCTTTCTCCGATCATTCGTAACAGTTCGTCTGTTTCATCCTTTAAGCTCCAGCTCCATTCTCACTACTCTTCTCAATTAGACTCTTCTTTCGATGTTAACAGAATGCGCACTTGGAAAACCTACTGCTCTAAATGCCGTTCTTTCAACTTAAGCTGTTGCTCATAATCTAAACTATTAATTTTTATATACCTATGTACATAGTGTTTTACTCCTTGTCTTTAATGTATGTCTACTTATTGTATTGTATCAGGTTGGTCTTCACATGGGACTCATGTCCTGTTGACCATACCTTCAATCATTGTTATAATTTTTGTATGATTGTAAAGTTAACAGATAATAAATAAAATTGAATCACTGAATCATAGAGTGAATCATTGAATCCTAAGATTGAATCATTGAATAATAAGAT